CTCATACTTTGCCTTTAAGGCCATAAGCCTCTCATACCAATACACCAACAATACACCATAAAATAAGCATGGGTAATGACATACTTCAACAATCTAAAGACCTTTAAACAAGTTTGATTCATATACATTCATTATCTAGCAACCCACTTCATAAAGGCATAAACTAGGAATAAAGAGAAATCATGGGTTCATGGAGTATTTTCGTCATAAATCATCATTTAAACACTAATACAATCATAATAAGTCATTAATAACCATTTGAAAACGTTTGAAGAAGGAACCCATGAGTTAGAATAAAAACCCTAGGTTTTGAAGAACTTGGAAGCTTTGAAATCATGTTTTGAAGGGACTCTATGGGTGAAAGCTACCCATAGATGAAAAGCCACCATACCTTTGCTAAGATTCCCCAAGAAAATTGATGAAGAAAGCCTTGAATCCAAAGCCCTAGCTCCCACTTCTTCTTCTTCTTGAGTTGGAGAGAATATTTGAGAAGTGAGGGAAATGTTTTTAGGGATGGGAATGAACTAATGATATATAGGAAATAATATATGTCATTTGGAAGAAATGGTCCAACACTTAGAAAATATTTTGGGCGGATGAACAGTAAATGAACAGTAATTTAGCTACTGGAATTTCCGTTTTCTGCCGGACAGACTTTACGAAAATGGGCATAACTCCTTCGTCCGAACTCCGAATGAGGTGAAACGAAGTGCGTTAGGTAGCTAACTCAAAGGGCTTTCCATGGATATATTATTGGCCACCCAAATAATTTGTGTGCTAGGAGATATGACCCTCCAAAGTAGACCCTCGAAAAAGGCTTCACTTGGAAATTTCGGATTTTGATACGGTTGCTCTAAAATTTGGGTTAGACCCATTTCCCACTCAATTTGACCCCCTAAACAAGAATATGAAGTCGGATTTTCGAAAAACGAAACGGATCTTTTTATAAGTAGCTAAACAAGTTTCCGGTAACTTCCGAAGCACATTTTTAAGAACTTTTTGGGTCAAATTCAAATATAATCATTTCATTAAGTTCTCGACTCCAAACTCACATGTGAGACTCTAGTTTCACTCTATCATTTTCCGAGTCGTTACAGAAACATGTCGAACAAAAGGAATAGCCTTAACATACCTTTCCAATGAACGCTCGAAAGACTGTTGTTCCTTCACGAAAGTTGTTCCTTATGTCCTAAGCTTC